GCGGCGCAGACCCGGCCTCCCGCGCTCCCCGCTAGCGCCGAGCTCTCAGCCCTTCGGCTCCGCCACGTGGAACGGGGGCGCCCGACGGCGGCAGCGGCTGCGTGGGGTCTCCCGCCGCGTGCCGTGCCGCCGCCCCCTCCCTCGGCTCCCCTCGGTGAGAGTGGCTTTCTCCCCGGGACGTCCCGGACGGCTGGGGGGTCGAGGTGGCTTCGGTTGGGACGTGGGGGGCTTGGGGACGTGGGGGACAGGGTGCTCTGGAAGACAGTCGGAGGGAAGGCTAGGGTGGCCGACGTGTTCCTTCCTGGGCTCGGGAAAGGAAAGAGAAAGTGGTCACTCAGCCGGGAGAGGGATGTGTATGAGAGACGTCCACTTCGCGAGTCCACCCAAAACAAAATGGAAAGATGGGCACTACCCAGAATCTCACCATCTGGGAGTGGAACTTCGTCTTGTATGAGTGGAGTGATGAAGGACGTTTTAAATAGTGTCTTCTGAGCTTTTGAGAAAGTAGGCAGGAATTAAGGGCTCACCCATCTGTTTGGGGTTGTGGAGAAGCAAAAAGTGTACGGTTAAGATGTGACTGGTGTTTTGAAGGTGCTTAACATCGCTAAAGGAATGAATACCAATTGGGGAGTCAGAGAGGGATGGGCTCCTTTTCCTGCTCTGTCATTTAAAAGGCTCTGTGACCTTGGGAAAATTTCTTAAACTCTCAGTTCTCCAGCTGTTCCTCTTAAGTACAGATTCACTGCAAAAATTTAAAGTGTGTGTTGAGACAAGTAGTAAGTGCCTGGTCCATACTGCAGACTCAGTTAACATTTGAAGTGAACTGGCTAGTTAATACCGTAGTTCCTGTCGAGATTAAATAGCAGCTCATGGAGGACAGAACACCAGTACCACTTCTACCTGTTGTAAGAGAGATACGATAGAGATTTTTATCAAAACTTTGAAAATGATTGTGACTTTTCATAGCCCAATGATGGCAAAATTGTGTGAAACTTGGCCCTGAACTGGAGAGAACTTTCCCTGCAACCTAAACAAGCAGTTTTTCAACAGTTCTTTCTCCTTCCAGTCTCAGCTGAGCACCTGGAAATCAGTTCGGTTCTGTTTGTCACCGTGGTCCTGTCTGGCGCCTCCAATTCCATAATAGTGGGGCCGGCGTTCGGAGACACGGTCAGGGAAGAGGGTGAGGTAGTATGGTCCATACAATTATAAACTCTGATGAGTCAACTCAGGAAGTTATAGGATAGGGATCTGGCTGGAGTGGACTAGCTGGATGTCAGTACATGGTCAAGATGCTGAAGAAACCTGAAAACACAGTGGGACGTGGCAGAGCCAGCTTATTTAATGTTCATGGTGAAGGAAGTGTTACTTCATTAGTTAGCTGAGGAAATCCTCACTGTTTTGAAAGAGAAGATACATGTATATGTGATACATTGTATATATTTCCATATAGGGATAGGTGGATAGGTGATGTTGAAAAGAAAATTGAGGTGTGGAAGAAAGGATGGGTTGAAGAGATTAAATCCTGAAAAGATTAGATGTTAGATATTTGTATCTTTACTGTAATTAAATGTGGGGACCTAAGTCTCTAAGTGCTTCCACAGGGAGAAACAATTTGTGAACAGGGTTGGCAAGTTTCATGCAAGGAGGTTTTTTTTTTAGATGTGATTGGACGAAGAGAACTTTGTAATGACCCTTTACTGAGGCATAGACTAGGTGCTTTACATGTTATTTGGTATTTACAGGGACTATAGGATGCAAGGTAGTATTATCTCTATTTTCTAGTTTGAAAATCTGAGATTCAGAGAGATTAAGTTCTTTGTCAAAGGTCACACAGGAGAATTATGTCTGACACACTTATTTATTGGTGAGTGGCGTGCACAAATAAATGGTTGATAACGTAATGTTATTGACAGAAATTTGCGCAGTGATGGTGTTAATGCTCACCTTAGTGGTACTGATGTTTAGCTGAAGATGAGTCTTGCAGGCAATTTCTACTGCTTTTTCCCTAATAGTCAAAAGAGGTAAGATGAGGTGGAACAGAATTCTTTTGTTACTATGGGAGCTGTTGGCCTGTGGGTGGAGGGCATGGCTATATGAGATCTTTGTCCTTGAATTTCCAGATACAAATTTCAGGTAGAAGACTGGCATGTAGGTGTAAAGTGCTCTTCATCAGTTTCTTCCCACTGGGCTGGATTCTCAGTTGATTGGGTCCTGACCTCTGCTGTGGGTCATAGCTCAGACACACTCATTTATCACCTGGGTCACACAAGGCTGTTGAAGGAGATGCAGAGAGGGTGTGAGGGGCTGAGTAGTCCCTTCAGCCAGGGTGCTGTGGGGTTCTGTCAGCGTTTTTGGTCAGGCTGTGGTGCTCTGTAGTAAGTGTGGTCCTAAGGCTGTTGGTTTCTCTTCTAGCTGGTTCTAGTGAGCCCTACATCAGAGCAGTATGACAGCCTACTTCGGCAGATGTGGGAGAGGATGGACGAGGGATGCGGAGAGACCATATATGTCATTGGGCAGGGATCAGGTGAGCATAGTTTTCCTTTCATTTATTTTTAACAATTATGTAGAGCACATTTTATCTCTGTCAACTTTCTGCTCATGTGTCTGAGTTGCAGTGATGCTTTAGTATCTGTAGAACTATTTGGAGGACATAACGAGCAGAGACACTGTCAGTTCCTACCCTAGTAATAATGATGTGCTTGGACTTAAAGAGTCCCTTTCCGAGCAGTTTTACAGATGCTTCCTTTCTACCTCAGTGCTCCCCATGTGCATAAAAGGAAATGAAGCACAAAGCAAGGAAACTTCTTGTCCACGGTGATAGGGCAAGGCATAGGTCTAGAATTAAGCCTGTCCTGGGCAGCTCCCCTCCAAGCCCTGTTTATATGGATCCCATTGCTGTTACCTTCTGCCTAGCAGAGAATCTGTGATTCTTCTTGATGTCAGCAAGGAAAAGATGCCCAGAATCTGTCTTCAGTCAGGCCACCTTAGCCCAGACCACACGGACCATTCAGTCTGCTGTGATAACAGAGGTGCCCTCCTCTCCCCACTGGGTCCGTTCAGTCACGGAAGCTCGTGACTGTTCTGGTTATTGTCCTCCGACCTGCTTATTCATTGTAATGGGGCCTCCTGTTTCAGAGGAATGCAGCCCCTGCGACAGAACCCCATGAGTTATTTTTCCTAGTTCACACCCTCCAATGCAAGGCCTACTTACCTTCCTCTTCATTATTACTTTATCTTTGCTGACATGACAGCTCAGATTGTTAACAATTATGAATTCAGCCTGTAGCAGCACTTGTCTTTGTCATCTTTGTGGAAAGCCAGGAAGGGCCTGGATGCATCATTAGGGGAACAGTTTCCTTTGCTCAGTGTAGGCTTTGTAAAGGCAGGTTATAATTCTTCTGTAGTTTGAGTTTAAGGTTGAGGAGATCTCAAAATCATTCTTTAACAATTTGACATAGATCTAGTAAATATCTTACACAGCTTGATACTGTTATAAAACTCTTGGATACTTAAAATCTGGTCCCTGCAGCTGAGTATGTAGCTCTGTGGTAGAGCACTTGCCTAGCATGTGCAAGGCCCTGGGCTCAGTCCCCAGCCCCACTCCCAGAAAAGGTCTGGTTCATTCCCCAAGAAGGAAGGATGGCATATAATATACACAGATAACCTCAGGAGAAAATAATCTTTAGAAATGCTGCAAGAGTGACAAAAGGAAAAAGGGTTTGCTCTCCAAATACTGCTGTCCTGTCCTTTGAACTGTCCTTATCTCTTTTCTTTCCCATCCTAGCTGCCACCTCTCCAGTTATGAGTCTTATCGGCTAGAAGAAGGCATGGGCAGAGAGATAGGCAAACTGAGAGGTTCCATGGCAGGAAAGGGAGGGAGTTAGTCAGCTTTGTGTAGTGCTAAGGATGCAGAGGGCAGATGGCCGACATAGCAACAGCATCAAATTCAGGAAAGGCTGTTCAAGTTGGTGACTGAGAGATCATTGATAGACTTTCAAATGCTTCTCAGGTACATATCTCACCCACTCTGAAAAGATGAACCACTCAAAGATCACTTTGTACTTGTAGAATTTGAGAAACCACATGAAGGTCAGTTTTGACCAGTGTTGAGACTGGTCTTTGAAGACCCAGATTTTTTTTTTTTTTTTTTTTTTTTTTTTGAGACA